CGGGGAAGGAGCGATGGTCCGGGGGTTCGAATCCCCGCCTTTTCGGGAGATTTTCGGAGGAGCGTCGTAGTGAAACTTGAAGTAATTAATAATTACAGGTTTCGTTACGCGCGTTCCAGGACGAGTCTCGTAACAATATAAGTATTTAAAACTTATAAGTTTCGTTACGAGGCCTTCCACGGAAATCCCCGGAGAGGGGCTCCTGCCGGGAGTCGGCGCCGCGTCTGAATCTTCTTCGAAAAGCAAAAGCATGAGTCCTTCGGGGGCTTTTGCCAAAATTTTGCTGATTTTTATAGAAAAAATTCATTAAAAATGCCTTCTTCATGATCGCACTGGACCTCCAAAGCAGAGCAGACGGGGCGGGCTGGGCGGAGGCGTCCGGAGCACGGGCCAGCCTCGAACCCGAATCCTCCGCATTTGTTAGGTCTCAGTGCTAGCCATGCGCACCCAGGGCAACAGGCAATGTTGATAATTTTTATCTATGTAGTCAACTACAGTTCACATGTACACAAGAAAAAAAATTCAACCTCACTGCCGAAGAGATTTCGAACACAGTAGCTCTTAAGACAACCAAGCAGACATTATATGTGCTACTTAGCAGAATGGAAATTTTTGGTTTTTTGAACGGGTTAATCAATTACGGTATTTACGGGGAGAGGTTGGTTTCGACGTTAACTTTGTTGGGATCAGCAACTTGCTCTACGGTCGTAGACGTTGGAGTTGACGCACAGACCATTGCTGTGCTAGCAGTGTTTAGTTTGCATTAAAACACTTATGGGGAACTGATAATGTAGGCACACGTAGAGGATGCTTTACATGTTTGTACGAAAAATACGTGGAACAATTGTCACAGACCAGCCGCGAGTCTCTTCTGCGTATGGGCAGGTCAGGCCTCAGGTGAAGTCCAATCTTTCTGGGAACAGCTGGTAGCGCTTGCGGTGCGAAGTCTGGTACTAGAGTAACGTGAGTCAAATGTATACAGTACCAATGTGAGTCAAAAACGTGCTGCATATATTATTTTAAGTCGTGCTTTATGTGCAAAAAACAGTCCCAATGGCGGCCGAATTGTGAAATCGTTTTTCTCTGGCACGAGTGTGCTCCGCGTGTCTGTGTCAGTGTCTCTACGTAAGTTTTCTTAGAGAGTAATGGTAAAGATATTCAGTGAAAGTGAAGGCAAAAAAAAGAATTGTGTAGTTTTTTTTAGGTAAAGAGAGGATGTTTTGAGAAGCCTTCACGCAGGCCGTGTCCTGGAGCCTGTTTCTGCGCTTCATCTGGTCCGGAAAGCTAAATATATTCCGGACGCGACCATACTCAGGTCAGTTTTTTGACTCACATGGTATATGTAATACGTTTTGACTCACGTGTAACTCCTTAGTACAGACTTCAATCGGCAATGCATGCACGGCCCCATCGTGACACGCGCCAATCGTTTGAAAAATTAGTGTACTTAAGTACTCTTCGAACCTGTAGTATATACTTTGGTTAAAACTAAATGATGTGTACACGAATCATACATATTATATTCTAAAACTTAAAGGATTCCCACTGACCTACGAGTGCTTCATTTACTTCTTTCTCAAGTTATGTTACGTATCGTGTGACGTAGTTGGAACACACAAGGGAAAAAGAACGACAATAGAGCTTAGATTTTGAGTATTATTTAGAAATCCGAGCCCTGATAAAAATATAAACCAAATCCAATTTTTTATTACAAAATTTAATCTTTATGCGAATGTTTTCGTTTACTTCGTGAATGTACACACTATATAGAGTACATCCACAATAGGACCCTTGCAACGTCTTTTAGAGAAGGTGTGTGGGATGTAATACCCAGGAATGACCTACCAAAATAACCAATTTACTCACGCCTAACTATCCTTACTCCGTGTACTTGTGTCACAACTAATATTACAGCATAGCACTATATTAAGTAGTTACAGAAGTTACGTGTTTACAAGATTCGAGTCTGCAGTGTCTTCGCAGAATCTTTGCTCGTACCGTTATGGATTGATCCTTCCGTTACGGATTTCCAGAGAATTTATCATTACTTTACGAAAGTGTATTAAGTTTTTATGAGGCTAATTAAAATATACAGCTGACATTGTGCTTCATGTGAGTAGTTTACCAGGGACATTTTTGTACAACTGTGATATTTCCCACGAGTTTTTTTCCTTCACACAGTGCAATCGTAATTGTGGAATAAATTTGTTTTGAGGAAAGAAATTGGCGTTTTGAATCACCGTTAATGATAAAATGTGTAGATGAAATATGAGAAAATTACGATTTACGCCACTCCTGTAAAGTGCTACCTTAAATACATTACTGTGAAAAAAGTTAACAGTAAATACGAAATTGATCGTTTTATCAATCAATAATATTGATAACCGCACATTTTTAATAACCCTACAATGAGATAGTTGGTTAATACTTTAATACTACCAACTTGTCTTACCTCGAGTTTTGTAACAAGAATAAAATTAACATAATTATTCAGCGACTTACCGGCTTCGTATTTTCTGTAGTGAAAACTATCTCCATTCTGGTGAATCACGGGAATATACGCTTGTATTCAGTCTTCTGAGGGAATTTACAGCTTTCAATTGCATTGGGAATATGACCAAATGACATGAAAATTATTGTGTCAAAGTTATGGCATAAAAGGAGAAAGGATGTGGGCCAGTGGTACTTGTATCTTGTAGAAATTGAAGTTACAAAATACCTGTTTATTTTCTACATGATTATGTTACAGGTAGTTTTTCATATTAACTAGTATTTCACTTGTACTTACTTAACTTAGTACTTGTACTCACATACTTAACTAGTATATTACTTGTTATCTAATTTTAAAATGTGTAATGTAAGTAAACAATCAACAAGCTTTATTAAATCAAATACTCTTCGAAAATGGACGGAGGTAAATTCATATAAAGTGAACATTGAATAAAAAAAATCAATTTCACACATGATATTTTTAGACAATGGAGCATTAATCAAGAATTTGTGAAATCAGCGGAAACTTTGTTATTATTTTATGTAATCGTGTGGGAACTTTGTTCAATGTACCAGGGGACAATTAGAAGAAACAAATAAAATGGAATAGTGTAGTATTGCTTCTAAACTGAATATGTCAAACAAATAAATAGTAATTCCATCAATTTCTAGATATATAAATTCAAGAAAAATTTAATACCATGAAATTTTTCATTTTTATAACACTATACAAATGTCTAGTAACATTGTAAATGTAAATACAAGGTTTTTCTTAGTTTTGTCTAAATGTGAGAGAATTTCCTTCTTAAATACAGTGATAACATTACGGGTTGAAATCATACAAGCACATGTTGAGGCTTGTTATAAGGAGTTAGGTAAAATCAAATCTTATTCGTAAGGGAATATTGTTTCAAATTGTACTATTTAATTTTCAAGTGCATGTCAATAATTCTTGAAATTTATAATCTCACGTAATTATAAAAACAAAGCATATCGATAGTAAAAACTAAGTTACAAAGATTATTTTCTTCAAATGAGTACAATAATTTCCTGGCAGAAAAGAAAGACTACATAAAATATGTATCAATAATTTCAATATTTGTAAAAAACTATCAAGTGCAACCTCTTCGAAATCACATTAGAAATTAGATATGATGGAAAGCTAAAGGATTGTGATTTAATTACATATTTGTATTGTAAGTCATTGGATAATAGTATAAATGTCAGGTGAACATTTTAACAAAGGTCTGGAGAAAGAGAAAACGGAAAACAGATGTTGTAGAAAATTTGATACTTGTCACCATGTAAAGCAAACGCTTCTTTCTTCTCTGGCTTCTCTAGTAGAACCATTCTTCCAAAATGTAGACTTTACCACCAAAATCTAGAATCAAAGGAAGTGAACGTTACTTAACTGGAATTAGGGATCAGGGTTCTGAGAAAATAAAATATCTTCATATTTTGTATCCAAATTTACAGTTGTGAGTTTTATGTACGAGAGAAAACTTAAATTAAATTGAATTGAATTGATATCTTATTGTCCGTGGCAAGGCTCGGGCCATCAGAGCCGCTCTTTCGTCTGACCACGCAAATTTCACGACGCTCCATTCACCAACTAGCGGAAAAAGGTTTCTTGGGCGACGAATCACTTAGGCTCTGAAGATAGACTCCCTTCCATAAAAGATCCTATTTTACATGCAAGTAAATCTACTAACATGGGACAGCCGGCTTTACTTCCCCTTAGAGGGAAGACGTACTGTTAAACGCATCCTCACGACAATGAAGTCCTCAAAAGTTAGGTTTGTCAATCTCTAATTATTTTTTTTAAAATTAATCATCTTATTGAAAATGCTAATAGAATGGTTACTTACAGTTCGGGTTTGTTGTCAAGAGATGTTTGAATCAATAAGATAAATATGAACCTAAAATATTTTCATTTTAAACATTTCTTTGGTAGAAATCTTACTAGCATGTGCGAATTTTGCCGAAAATGTTTCTGCTACTCTACAATCTTCTGTTTTTGTCAAATGTGAAACTCAACATGAGTTTCTTTGGTTGAAATAAACAAATGCTATATTGTCTCAAATGATGAAGCACTGAAATGGCATTCAACTGAAAAATTATTCTAGAAGAAAATATATTGCATCGCTCGAACGTGAGACTGAGAGTAGGAGTCTTTCTATTTTATTTTTCGGCTACAGCCTATAACGTTCCCTGCGTAAAGGAATCGAAAAAAATTAAGCTTTATTTGCAGTCCTCTGAGGTTATTCGGAATTTTAAGATGACCTGTAATTCTGCACTACATCTTTGCACCACTTCGCGTTCTATCACCGCTGAAACAAAATTTATTTTCAATATTTAACCCCTTTGGTAAAATGTAGGTTTTTATAATTATTGTGATACTTATGGGAGTTAGTTCTGTGTCATACGAGCTTAACGCTCACACGCGATAAGCAATACTCGTCATCGATTAGCACTGTATTTTACAACGGCAAAACGGCCAACGAACTCTTTGTGCCATTTTGCATGAGGTGCAATGTTATTCTTCGACGTTCGTTACTTTTCGTGCGTTAACGCAATGCTCGTGTGCAAGGTCCTTAGTATGGTGAATCCAAGGGTTTCTTATAATAATAATAATAATAATAATAATAATAATAATAATAATAATGTCTTCATTAATGGCGAGGCTCAGGCCATAGGGCCTGCTCTTCCGCCTAACCACAAAGTACTTGACATTCTTAGTACTTGACATTCAGGGATAATTGTCACTAGTCTGTACATGTGAATTGCATAGAGGAGAGAAAGACAGTCAAATCGACACTTTTTCCAGACGAAGTGGCTGCTACTGAAGGAGACGGAAAAACTGCCACTGCTTCGGAGTAAATAATCGTTTTCTTTTATACATTTGAAATAGTATTTATTCAATATTTTCCAAACATTAAGAACCTTGAGAGTATATAGGATTAGAGAAAAAATATTATTTGTATTACAACTCCGTAAAAAGGTAGATGTGCAAAAAAAATCAGCTCTGAGAATCACGTGTATGGCTTTCATTTTCAGGCGTCGTGGCAGGAGTGGATATTTCTGAGATTCATCGTCCAATTAAGGGCCAGTTTCACTAACAGTCAACTACTCACAAACGTTAAGAGAAGTTATCCAACAGTAAGCATTACTCTACTATAGTTACTCTGGAGTAGAATTCAAACGTTTCACCACGCTTTTGGAGTGTTATTTTACCGTAGAGTACACACTCGCAGATTTGCTGCACGAACCAGCTGAACGCGCAATTTTTCATACACAGCAGAGAGATTAGTTGTTTCCGGGTTTTTTAGGCCGTGGTCCAAACGAGACTGGTCCAAACGTTTCGCCTGCAGATGTGGCAGGCATCATCAGTGGCGTTGCTGGCGGGGGCGAAGTGTCTTTCTTGGCAGCACCGCGTAGACTGCCAAGAAAGACACTTCACCCCTGCCAGCAACGCCACTGATGATGCCTGCCACAGTTGCGGGCGAAACGTTTGGACCAGTCTCTTTTGGACCAAGGCCTACAAACCCGGAAACAACTAATTATGATGTAGAAACAGGCCGTAAAAGCCTACATTGTATGTTACAGCAGAAAGATTTAAGAGACCGTGAGCGAGAGTGACGCTCTGAACCAATGCGAATAAACACGAACCTCTGGTTATTGTCATATTCTATCAATCATTTCAGTTTCGGAGTTCTTGGCGGCGTCTTTGTGTTACAATCTTTTATGATGTTTTGGCGATTTTGAGTTAGCGTAGTTAATTTTTTAGTTTTTGTATATATTTTTCTTAATATTTCTTAGTACTTTCAGTCCTTGTAGTTATTTTTTCTGTTGGAATCATATACATACTATGTTCATTTTGTATCCACATGAGTCAAAAACAAATTCACAAGTTTTTCGCAGTTTATAATGTACCTGATATAGTCGACACCGTACTTCACAAATAAAATACATTGTTACACTGTTTAAATAAATTTTAAGAGATTTTTCCTGTTTTGGACTGGTCTGTGAACTGATTGTCTACAATCTTCACACATCTACAATTCTAAAATAAATAATTTACGAAATTATTACACTACTTTTTTTTTAGTTTCGTAATTAATAAACAAATTATTCGTTTTGAAATCATCTTCAATTCTTTCAATTAGAAGAGATTGCTCGAACATAAGCTCGTGAAAAAAATCTGGATAGTCACAATTAAAAAAACAATCCATTCTGTCCTGCATCCATTTTTGTCTTGAGGGAAAATATTCCAAATCACTATGAAATGTATATTACTATGAAACTGCTTGATTAGTTTTATTTTTTGTCAACATGGTAAATAATAATTTATGTTAGAAATTATAAAGTTTGTAATAATTTATATCTCAATTTTTAAAAATTAATTACGACTAATCCTATGACTACAGCAGATGGGAGGAATTCTTCAGGTATAAGATAATTCGCGCCCTTTCCCATTTCCATTCTCCTTACTACTCTAAAATATCCGCGGTTAAAAAGATTATCATAGAAATACTTACATATGTATCGTATGCTTATTCCCATGACTTAATATATATTTTATTTTTAAAACCTCTCTTATCTCTTACATTATTTCATTGCACAAAGGTATTCAATACCTATTACGGACAGTGGATACATACTACTACGTAATTTTTGTCTGAAAACATATCTAGCAATTTTTCGCAATTCTTCAGTTATTTGAATGGAATGTTATCAGAAAAGAAACAGGTGAACATATCACCCCAGAAAATCTTATGCTGCTACTCTATTTCGTTTCTTTCAGAGGTCTTTTGCATTTCTGAGTGATCTTGGAATTTAGTGCTTCAAGAATCTACAATTCACGGGAAACTAAAATATCAGAAAAAAAGTGTTATAAAGGATACAAACCCGTTATAATTATTTTCTAGTTTTTCCTTACATTTTTCCTACGTATTATTTGATATATACATTACAGTTTACACAATCTTTGAGTGGTGTCCCTTTGAATCCATTTCCGTTTGCAAAACCATTCTGCAAAATTAATTCTGCGTTGCCTTGTAAAACAGCATACTTCCCATTACGCATTTAGCAAGCATTTCTTCATTTGCAATGTAGCAATTCTGTAGCATTGCATTTCCAATGCTACAGAATAAAGTGTATCATATCTACTCCCAACAGCGAAACTTTTTTTAATTAGCACGTTTGTTGCGATTTTAATCCTTCCAGTAAACGAGTTAAATAGGTGATCTAGTAAGTCTAGTGGCATAACAGTCTAGTAAGTCAAGAACCAAACACCACACAGAATTTATTGACTAATTATGATGCCTCATGGTGTGTTGAAAATGAAAATGACTTTCATTTTTCTACATTCCGTATAGTTTTTATTACAAATATCAATGTTTTGTAGTTTATCGGTAAATCGGCAATTTGTAGTAATATCATAATCGGTTTCAGATAAAATCAATTGTTGCCTTGGATTTCACCTTGTATCTACTTCGCCATCTCAACTCCAACGATCAAAAAGTGTCGGGGCCCCGGATTAATTTCACTGCAACTGCTCTCATATGTATTAGTCTTTCCTTCAGTTGCAGTCTTCACGTCTTGAAAAACGGCTACTGCAGGAAAAAAACCGTTGTAGTACTCCAATGGATCTTTTTTCTCGGTGTAGGTATTTTGTAAATTTACCGAACTTTTTCTGTTTCCTGTGTGGAGAGTATGCTATTATAAATCAAATAAATGTGATTAAATCAAACTTGCTAATTACTTACTACGGGCTGAAATCGACAATAACACTCCTTTTCACACCATTTTACGAAGAGCGTAGATGTTGTAGAAACTTTGGAAAATTTTGTGTTGCAAACGGCAACATTCTAGAAACCGTGCGGTATATCAGAGAACGACTCGAAACTCTTAATGCCACGCAAAATCTAATATAGAAAATGAGAGCACCGAACTGATTTTATCAAAATTGTGGGGAGAAGAAATAGTACGAGCCTTGCAAACGAGAGAACGAGACATGAGGCGCGAAAATATTACCCGCGAATAAAATACGTGAGATTTATAGTAGAGATCACGAGCGCATCTCTCGCAGACTTATCGTGCGCGACGCTGCGTCTAGTAAATCATTCTTCGGTTCCTGAAATAAAAAAAAAGCGTGAATATGAAATACGTATTGTCACTATTGATGCCCGTAAAAATATAATGTGGCTAGATTGAATGATTGATTTTTCCAGGCGCGTAAACTTCAACGGTAATTCATCCCAACGGTAGGCGCGTAAACTTCAACGGTAAGTGTAGTGCATATTTTTTCGTCATGAATTGGCGGTGGCATTCTTCGTTGGAAGGTAAAATCCGGTGCTACCCCGAAATTCGGGTAGGTTTCCCCAACCAGAAATCTCCAACGTGCATAGCATTGCTCCAGCCGGGACAAGCTCTTAACTGGTCTCCCGGAAAATGTGTTAGTGTAAGCGTGTCTAACTAAGGAGTGAAGACCAGTGGAAGGAAATATTGCGCGCGGGCCATGGACAGTTTGTGAGAATACTGCTCCCGCCTTTGCTTAGTGTTGATAGAAAGCACGGAAAACTACTGCTAGAAGACTCCTTCAGATAGCGGCTGAACTCGACCTAGATATCTAGCTAGTGTCTGAAACCTTGCCTCCGTCTCGCTTCAAACCTTAGGACCTCCCGGTTAGAACCACCACAGACATGTTGATTCGCTGGGCACCATAAGCCGGTAAAATAACGACATTATGCTTCTGACTTCGGTGGTCTCCGGTAGTCGTAATTATTGGAGATGCCAGCGAGTCGCTGTCAGTGACCTGGTGATGCCGTTCTCGTATTGTATTTTGCACTCATAAACATTCTAAAAACGAAGTCGAATACAGTAGCGCTACTGAAAGGTGCACAAAACTGCACAGACTTTTTTTAATGGTGCGCGACGCGACGCGAAAACAGAAAACCAGTTACTGCAGACTTATGTACTCCGATTTAAACACTGTGGCACTTCGAGGTGACGAGCTGGTTGGAGAGGAGCAACACAGTCATCCAATCGTCAGCTTTGGTTAAAACTTAAATTTTTGGTATTGGACCTTTCGATTGGATGACAATGTCCCTCCGTCCTTCGAAGTTGTGAACTTGAAATCCCACTGTTTCCACCAAATCTGAGTGCACTTGAGTTTGTTACTTCGCGGTGATTATAATGCGACGTGCAGGACATGATAAAACCTGCTATCTAAGGTGAAGTAGAGGTTAATTCAGTCCACTCACGTTAGTGTTGCGATTGTGATAAGCTACCACATAGCAATCCGGAAGGTCTGAGCCTGTACACAGGCTGTCGCATCAAGTACATACACACCATTACGCAAAATTTTTATCTGAATCATGACTGTCAGAAGTCTTAAAGTGAGATTCCCCCTCCTATATTATCCATGTTACATTCTTAATACTGATGAGCCATCATCTCAGAAAATATTAACGATACCTATTTGAAGTTTATACTGTACATTATCTGTACTATTGCTTATTAACTGATGCACAGTGCGAAGAGTTGCTTGGCAGAAAACTGAAATATAATATTTTAGAAACTTTCATTATTTTCGAAAATATTTTGACTAATGTATTTATACAATTGAAACAAATAATGCTAACTTTTCAAATGTATATCTACAGCTTCACGTTGCTTAGTTGAGTAGTTTGTAGAAGATTCTATAAAATGGGTTCAATAGTTTATGAGAAATCGGTGTATTTGTAAAAAAAAACTGATTTGAGAAAATCACTTCTAAAGTTTGAAGTAGGAATTAACCACCATATTTGTTGTATTATTTTACATAAAAACAACATGTTCTACATTGTGCACTATGTTCGTTATTGCTGATATCTAAAATCTATTTTCTCTTCTTTTTGTGAGTTATTAGTCATTTTCTCAGCTGAGATCTCTGAAAGGAGGGGATTGACAGCATCAATTCTAGAGTTAAGTTTTTCATTTCTAAGCCTATTTTTTGCAATTCATACATTATCAACGACAATGGTCTTTACGATTGGATTTATTTCCTTTTTTCACAAGCTATTAAATTACCTTTACGTTTTGTCCTTTGAGTCGATGTAGTTGACATTTCTTTCACACAGCAGGCTATCCTACCACTTACCCTAAGAGAGAAAATAGCACTTACCTTAAAATAACATAGAAACACGCCCGCCAAATTACACAGATAAACAAGTTAATCTGAAACTGAAAACCACAGCCTTCAAGAGTCAATAGTTTCAGAACTATGTATGATTATGTAAAGCCACGGTACTTCTGAAACGTCAATTTGTCTGTGCCGATATACATTCAAAATGCAATCAAGTAATGAATAAAAGAATTTTTCAATGAAAAAAAAATAATTCAGAAATGTTAGAGATTATTTTCAGATTGAAAAACTAAATTCAATATTTTTTTAATTTTTTGGTTCAAAAAAAGTTTAAATCTCACCTTAACGCCCATAAAAAATTCAGTGTAAAATCTGTAGAAAATTTCAATAGAATCTTACGAGCACTAGTGCAAGTAAAAACTATGTAATATAACAAAAGTAACTGTAAATGTACCACTTGTTTATATGAGTGTGTGTGTGTGTGTGTGTGTGTGTTATTTTCAATAAATCCATGATAGTCGGTTAGCAGCATACAAATGTACATTTTCTTATTATTTTTTAGTAGCGGAGAGACTACCTCTAACTCCTGATTTACCCCCACCCCACAAGGTTAAAGCATCCTGTAGCTTAGATAATCGAATCTCCATAAGCGTCATTAAAACCTTGTAAACAATAGTTTCCTTCCTTTAAAAAAATACGCCTAATAATTTAATTTCGACTACACAACACCACGAGGTAATATACCTACTTCTCATTTTCAGCAACAGGTTACGAGAGAGTTTACTCCAGTATGTTTCTTTACAAGAACCCAAAACTTGTTTACTTAATTGCAAAATTAGTGTTAAGCGATTACGTGATTACAATTAACTGTTGTAGAATTTCAATATGGCTTAACGATATCAAGGCGAATAGAATCGGGATCTATAGAATTTACACTGAAAAACGTGGAGCTGTTTTTACGGAAATGTAAATAGTTTGTTTGATCTAATTTTCATAATAAAGTTACAAGTTATCCAGAAAGTTTAATATAAGTCACCTGAAACACTTATGAAATATTTACTCACAAATGTAAATTATAAAAGCACCTGTAATATAAATATAACAACGAAAATTTAAATTTCTGTAATGTTTGTCACGCAATACTTATTTCCAACTTTGCAATTCTGGGAGCTTCAGAGAGTTCAATGAACTCGCATTATTTGGTAATTATTCAACGGATTTATAACTAAGATGTTTTAAAGTATCGTAAGTTTTCAAATGTAATACTGTGGACGTGTGATTCAACATTCGCCATTTCAGAAACGTGAAAAGAGGCGTCTTCTATGATAATCCTCATTTTCCAGGCTCCCTAATACTTTACATAATTTATGCCCACATTTCTTTCGATCTCGCTCTTTACCTTTTCATTCATTTTTGAACTACTAAATTCCTTTCTAATTAACTCTATTATGTAAGTGATCAGATATTTAAATTCTTTGATCCGTCACAGCGTTCGTCACAGCGTTCGTCACAGCGTTCGTCACAGCGTTCGTCACAGCGTTCGTCACAG